GTCATTAATATAGAAATATCAGAACATAATCTCTGAGGGCTTGTGAGCTCAGGTTGAGCTGGTAGCTGGTAGAGAGGTAATCATTCCTACTTAGGATATGAATGAGGGTTGACCCTAACATAAGAGCTTGTAAGAGATTTCCGAATTTGTTTTCTTCTCTGTGGGTATTTTCTTTCATTATCAGTCCACTGAAACTCACAGAATGAAAATGCTTTAGTGGTCTTGAGGTCATCAATCTGCATCCACAGGGTAGATTCTTTGTCTTATTTCTGAGTTCTGTATAATAATAGTTTGCATTTATACAATAATTAAGGTTAGAAAAGTACTTTTCTTACAACAGCTTATGATCCCCATTTTATAAATACAGAAACCAAGTTTCAGAGAGGTAAGCTGATTTATCCCAGGTCAAAGAGCTAGTAAGAGCTTGAATTTAGGTATTTTAACATGAAGAACATTATATCATGCTGTCACTGTAAATATACCGACTACTTTTGCCAAAATTTGAACTCATTCAATTTTTGGAATAAAGTTTCTTGAAACTCTGAAATCAAGATCTTTTCAGATTGTAATAGTTCACACATTAAAATTTCTGACATTTAAATTGTGATTTAAGGTTGTAAATTTTTTCCCATATATTTTCTCATTTAAGCCAACAAACAGTCCCATGAGGTATTTTTTACAGGTATTATTACTCTCATTTTGCAGATGAGAAAACAGTATCATGGACATTAAAGGACTTGGCCATGGTCAAATAGCTAGTAAGTACATACTGAAGATGCGATTCAAACCTAGGTCTTCCTGACTCCAAATCCAACACTCCATGCATTATGGAGGCATCTATTAATGAAATATGACATATTATATATTAGTCTTATCAGACGCTATAAATACTCAGACTAAAAAATATTAGAGAACAGCATAGCACAGGAGAAAGAGCTCACCAAGTCCAAAGACTTAGGTTTGAATATTGTCTCTGTCACTTCTTACCTATGTAACTTTGGGCCAATTACTTAACCTCCTTCACTTGCAAGAAAAGGAGATTGAGCTAGATAAGCCCCTATGGTCTCTCTGAGCTCTAAATTTGTGATCTGAGGACAATCATCTCCAGTTGTTTATTCTTTAAGAGTAATCTCTGCCAAAGTTTCACAACCAGTGTTCGGAAATAGCATGTTCCTTTCACATTCAAACCTCAAAGTTATTTTTGCCCAGGCAATCAAATCATTTTGAACATGAATGAATAAATGAAATACTTATGCTTTTGAAATTTATTTTACATACATCTTGGTGTAAAGAACAAGCAGTCTATTTTGAACTTGGAGACTGACTTTTGTGTCTGGTTGAATTATTCTGAATTTTGACAAGTTGAGATGATATTTGTTTGCTTATTCCTTCAGTTCCCTCTTCTACCCCCTAACTTAGAGGGAAAAGAAGTAAATTAGCTAAGTGGTATGGATGGGCTATCATAAACATGCCATGTAATCAGGAGGGCACAAACGAAGGCACTGTTCTCCTTCAGGCCATGAGGAAGATGAATGGAGATAACGGACTATGCTAATTCTAAGGAACTTTAATTAAGCTAGAAAGCTGATATGTCCCTCAGGCTGGACCTGGATAAATTTCTTATATATGTAAGTACCATATTCTGGCACAGTATTTTTGAATTTAGACATGACTTTCTCCTTGTAAATAAACCCTAGAAAATACATTCTTATGTGTGAAGACAGGGGTAGGGTGGAAAGAAGATAGTGCTAGAAAGGGCACTAAGCTAATGTAGCGAGGGAGCAGAACAGGTGTAATTAGAGTTCAGGTGTAACAGATGTCTGAAATTAAGGAACTTAGGAACTTAGAAAGGTCCAGGAGGCTCAGAGGCTCACAAATTGTGGTTAAATGATCAGGAAACATCTAAAAGATAAAAGCTCTGGGAATGAAGGCAAATAAACTCCTGTATTCATTTTTATAAGAAAGACTAAAAATTCCCAGGTAAGCTGACTGTGGGTTGGTGAGACTTCCTGGAGTCAGGAAGATCTAAGTTCAAATCCAGCCTCAGACACTTAATACCTATGTGACCCTGGGCAAGTCACTTAACCCTGTTTGCCTCAGTTTTCTCATCTGTAAAATGAGCTGGAGAAGGAAATGGCAAACCACAGTATCTTTGCCAAGAAAACCCCCCAAAAGGGTTTGTGAAGAGTTGGACATGACTGAAATGACTTAACAACAACAAAGACCCAGGGTTAGATCCTGTTTTCAGAGTATTTCAGTCTTATATAGCAATCATGTGGTCCTAGTCCTTCAATTATTTTCTTTTAAATTTTAAATGTATTTCTTTATCATTTCAAACCTCACACGAAATTTCAAACAGCACAATCCTTTTTTTTTTTTAACTATTTGAGTGGTAATAGTGAAAATACATTTCCATCTTCTAAATATCTAAGATTTTGTTTGTTGGTATGGGTATTCTCTCTCTTGCCTCAGAACCAAATATTTACAGGCCTAAATAGTAGTTTCATGAGTTTTTATTGCCCCAAACAGTTCATCATCTAGTGGCTGGTACTCAGATATCCCTGAAAGCCTTTGCACTATGGTAGGAACCGCCAGACCCATTAGAGATTTTGGAAACTCAGTGTCACCTTTGTACCACAATGAAGCATCACAGTAGGGCTTTTTTTCCTTAATGAAGGATGACCTAGAGCTTAAATTTTTAAAAAAAATTAAATAATTTTCAGGATTAAATGGTTTAATGAATAATAATAACAACAATAGCTAGCATTTCCATAGTGCTTTAAGGTTTGCAAAATACTTTACAAATATTATAGTCATCCTCACAACAACCCTGAGAGGTAGATGCTATTATCATGCCCATTTCATAGATGAGAAAAACTGAGGCAAATAGAGGACAAATCAATTTATCCAGGGTCACAGGGCTAGTAAATGTCTCAGGCTGGATTCAAACTCAGGCCTTTCTGATTCCAGATCAAGAATTTTATCCATTAAGCCATGTTAAGTTACTTTCCTGGCATGAGGTGTGTAGAGTGGAGGTGGAGGGGGGAGGCGCTGTCTTTGAAAGCAGGCCATCAAGGGTAAATCATGCTGAAATAACAGCATTTCATAATTTCTCCTGCATTTAATTTTAGTGTTAAAATTACTAACAAAAGAATGGGAAATTATATGAACAGAATTTATGTGCATCTTAAAATGGAAGTCAGTGAGAAAATAAGACAATTTTGTAGAAACTCATTTCGCAAAGTCAAGAATATCTACATTTTATATCAACTTCAAAAACAGTTTCAATATTTATTCTCCTATTACTTCATTAAAGAAGCTACTAGTTTTCAACTGGATGACCTTGCATTTTCTTTTTCAAAAGAGTAAGGCAAATATATAAAGTAACGAAGAAAAACAAATTGAAATTATGCCTAAACTAGTCAGGGCAGATTTCACACACTCTGCTTTTGCTCAGTCCAGGTATCAGGGCTTTATACTTTGGAGACCTGAGATCACAAGAAAAATCCCTGAAGTCAGTGTTCTGGATTGTCCAGGTTACTGGCATCAAAGAAAAAGAGAAAAGGAAGATGAATAGGGGCTGATTTTAACATTCTGGTTCAGGAAGAAATCAGCTAACTAGATTAACATTGGTTTTTGTTCAGTCTGTGTTAAAAGCAGCCTGAAAAAATACAAATTAGACTTTGTCATCAGTTTTTTTCTTGTAGTAGGTGAAGCATAAGCATACATTTGAGGATGAAGTTCCTACCTTACCTCTGACAAAAAGGTTTGACATCTCAGTCAACTGGGTGAGAAACTGTGTGGAGTGAGGAGTGGTTAATAACAGTAGCTGCTTTGTGAAAACGGATTGTATTAACAATGGCCTGTGGAATACAGAGACCCATTTCTCAGAGTCATAGATTTTAAGAGTTGGAAGTTTTCTCAGCAACCATCTAGTCTAGCCTATATCAGAAAGTATTCTCCATTTTATGAGCAGCTAGGTAGACACAATGCTTGTCCAGGATTCAGGATCTTCCTGAGTTCAAGTGTGACCTCAAACATTCCCCAACTGTGTGACCCTTGGTTAAGTCACTTAACCCTGTTTGCCTCAGTTTCCTCATCTGTAAAATAATCTGGAGAAGGGAATGGCAAACCACTCCAGTATCTTTGCCAAGAAAACCCCAAATGTGGTCACAGAGTAGGAAATGACTGAACAGCAACATTCTCTATTTTGAGGGGATGCCTTCCTGCTGTAAGCGTTCAGAGACAACACCAAAGTACCAGCTGTTCTACTATAGATACTGATGATGGAGAGAGATGATCAGATGCCTTACTATTATTTGAAAAGGATTATTTGGGGAAAATAAAAATGTTGTCAAACAAAAGAAACTCAAAACCCAATTATAAGCTGAAGTCAATGGTCAGAAAACTAGTAGTAACGGAATAACTACCACACACAAAATACCTAAATTAAGATGTTAAGATGTTAAGTCTGGAAGCAACAGCTGAAGTAACTTATGTCCAGAAATGAATGAGAAAGTATGATATGAGGAAATTATGATATGGTTATGATAAACTTGGGGGTTTATTAGGGGTGTGGGAATCAGAGAAAACGCTACTAGTCAGAACTTGTTTTTATGATCATACTATACGTATTTAAAATGGTTCAGAAATATCACTCCTGCCTAGGAGTGAGCAAGCTAAGGGAAGAAATCTCATGTTAGATATGAGATTATGGGGGTTAAATCAATCCTTGCTCAACTAAAGTCATTCTACGTAAAGAACATTGGGCCATAAACCAATATTTGGGGCCAGATCAGTTTTTCCATCCTGAAGGAGTAGCAATTTTGATTACATGAAACCAAACAATAACATTGAGTGAGTCTTCAGTAGGAAACAGGACAGAGAAAAAGCTGGTCATTGTCTTTGTTCTGGGGCTGCCAAGTCATCTTTTTCTTCTGTCAGGGAAATGTGACTTCACACTGGCGTTCTCAAAGAAACAGTTTTCTTTCTTTACTTACCACTTTAGGTTTGAACGGTGGTTGGATTTCTCTGTTCTCCAGTTTGTCCCAGTCAATTCTTCTGAAAAATGCATGTTCTCTGATGTCCCTTTCTCCCTCAGACCCACAACCCAGGCGTTTTGCAGGGTGCTTTGTCATTAGCTAGAAAAAAAAAGAATAGTAAAGAGAAAAGTGGCATTCCAGTGGATAAACTTTCTTTTCTTTATTCCATTCTCTACTTCCCCCAATCAACTAAATAAATGAACTTGTACTATAGTGTTCTTCCTATCACAATTTTTATGATGATAATATAGGATAAGGACTACTGAGTAGTTCTGAGAAATTTCATGAAAGATTTAAAAGGTAATCTGCCTGTAGTACCAATTGTATCAAATTTCCTTTTATTTTTAACTTCTTTTCATCTTCCTTCCATCTTCTGGCACTCATTGAGATCTTGCTCCCTGATACCATAACCTTGGCCATCCCATCCAAGACTGGTTGTACCAACATTTTACTAGATCTTGTTTTTTAAAAGCACTATATTGCTCTAAGCAATCTGTATATAAAGTTCGTGGTGTGGGTATGTGTGTGCTTGTTTACATGTGTATATTGCTTATTTATGAGCTGGATCAAAATCTCCAGAATGGTATGATCATATGTAAAAAAAATTACAGAGATAACTCTGTTAATCTGTTTCCACTGTGAGGCTTTGATGTAATAACTGACTAGAAATTTTGAGGGCAGGGGTTATTACTAATTCAATTCAATTGATCATATTTACTGAGTGTCTATTATGTGCAGGACACTATGTCAGGTTTCATTGGGGTTAAGAAGCTGAATAACATCTAGTCCCTGCTGTTAAGGAGATTAAGAGTTTGGCAGCTGTTGCCTCTGTATCTCTCTGTATTGCTTATACAGCCTGGCACCTAAAGGTACCCTGCACGTGGTATTGCATAAATGAATGAATATACCTGGAGGTTTCCCAGAAAGTACCTGTTCCATCCCATTAACTATGATTTGTATTTCTCATTCATCTGTGGATTTATATGATGAAGCTTATATGAGGAAATATTGCTGAAATCAAACCAATCAATGAACCAAACTAACCAAGTAACAACAGTGGGTTGATTTCATAGGATTCTAATCAAGGGCGTGCTGGAACCAATTTTAACAGGCTTGTAAGCGTGACTGTCAAATTTTCAGTGTGAGCATTTACACTTTGGAAATAGGCAATTACAAATTAATATTGCAGATTAAACTTAAAAAACATCTGTGCATTTTTTTTTTACACAGAGGGCCCAGCTATATTGCTCTATAAAAATTGCTTGAGTTCAAGAGTGTAAAAGAAGCTTCAGGGAATGAAGTCATCACCAGATTGGAGACTTGGTCACTAGAGGCTAATAATAATAATAACTGGCAATTACACAGCACTTTGAGGTTTGCACTCCTGGTTCTAATCCAGGGCAGTGATAGAAAAGGGGTATGGATCCATCAGCTCACAAGTGTTGGGTTCAGTTGAAATAATTCAATTTAGTCAACTCTTTTGGGTCATGATCATAATAATCATAATAATGACTGCTATGTAAATAAGATCTACTTACTCCTTTGCAGATGGAAACAGCTTCTTTGGACAATGATTTTGGATAGGAAACATTGTGTTCCATTATGGATTGGAAGAGTTCATCCTCATCTTCACCATCAAATGGGGGCTATTCAACAAAAATCAGCAAAGATGTGAAAGGATTTAGAATGATTAATTCATTAACACTGCTAAAAAATGGCTCTTTTGGCAGGGAAGAGCACAGTGTGCTTCTATTCACATCACAGGCTTCAAAGTTACCTCTAGTTAGCTTAAGGGTTTATTTGATTATCTTTAATTAGATTGATGGCAGTACAGATTTTCCCCCCTTTGTCTCTTTAATTATCTTACCCCAGGCAACCAAAAACAATCTGCAGGGAAAACCATTTTTGGTTAATACTTTTTAATGATTTGCAAATAAAATATAATTAATACATTTATCTTGTAATCACATGTCAAACAAACTAATTATGATAAAATTTAGGTTACAGTAGGGAGGAACCCTCTCTATCCACCTCAGCAATTCATTTTAGAGCAGGACCACTTCCAATTGAATTAAGAGTTACATATAGCCACTTACATGGTCTAATTTAAGGGTAATCTTAAGATTGTACCTACCACCCAAGGGCTCCTATATTGACTTGCCATGGCCCCTTCCCTCTTCTAACCCTGAAATTTTCATAGTCAGAATTACATTGCTATCATCATCAACATCATCATCAATTGATAATAAAAGTTAAAAAAAACAGTGGAGTAGAGCGAATCAAGGACTGGTCTCTAAGTCCAGAAGACCTGGTTTCAAGATGAATTTAATTTTATATGTATTTAAAAACATTACTCTGAGAATGGGTCTATAGGCTTCACTGGATGGCCAAAAGTGGTCTATACACAAACAAGTTAAAAGAACACATGTTCTAAGAATATAAATTGCAAAGCAAGTGTGACCAGCATTGGTAGACAAAGTTTCCTTCCTGAGAGTTTCTTATACCAATGAAATAAGAAGTCTGGTCCCCTCCAAGAATAATAACATCATAATACTACTAATGTCAAATCAAAAAATGAAAAATCATGTAACTATTTGGAGACCATGGGATGAATAAATAAGCACTCTTGATTTCATAGAGGCAATTTTTATACCGTAAGTGAAAATGATTTAGGGTATTGAGAGAAATGAAGTTTCTCCAAAGGGCCTATTGTTCTTTGTTGCCCTCCATAATGTAAAAGGGAAAAGCAGAATAAGGGAAAGATAGATTTTGCAGCTGCTTTGCTGTTTAGAAAGAAGTACTTATATGTAATTGGACAACATAGCATCCTAGTTAACGAATAACTGGTTGGGCATGTATGCTCTGCCCAGAGACAGACAGCTTGTTGAGTTTTACATTTCTCTAGCTTAAAGGGTGATACTTTCTTATCATGTCATTTTAACAGTGATTGTTAGTTGAAAGAACTTTTAAATGCTTCATTGATTTGAAAACAAAAAGGATAGGATTTGCCCAACTAGAGGGTGGTGAGGATTAGAAGGGGAACAGTTAGCAGAGATGCAGGTGTTGAAATTTCTAAATGGACTAATATCATCAAAGTCTGCACTTCAGAGCTGTGAGTTACCCTGAGCACCTGGCTTTTCCTCTCTCACGGCCTTCCCTATCAGGTTTCTGAAAGTGTGTGCCCATTCTCTCCTACAGGTATGAGTACATATTGGTAGGAGAATGTGACCCAGGTTTAAGATGTTTCTATTATTCCTGCATTTGCTTTAATAATCTGTGATGTTATTATTTCTTTTGCTTTATTGTTAAGTAAATGGCTATGTTTAAGACCTAAGTGTGTCAATTGTGAGTAGCTGAGTATGTACAAACAGAAATATACCAGTGGTAGCTTGAAAGCTATAGAGGCTATAAGGGGGAGTGTATTCACAACAGGATTACCTCGGGGAGAGTTTGAGCATAACCTTCCCTGAGAAACTAGACCTGCCGGTGTGAGATCTGACTAAAGTGAGTGGCCAGCCTAGAGAGTGAGCAGATAGCTACATTTTTTACAGTACTGATGTTAGGTGCTACAATGTGGGTAGTCATTGCATATAAATATGCATTACACATAAATAAAAAATGGGACAAGATGAAGTGCCAAGAAGATCTCCTCTCTACTTTTCTCATCAGCACACTGGGGCATCAATTAATTTATCCCAGTATCTAATTTTCACCCTGGAAGATACAGAGACACCAAGGCTGTTTCAATGAAGACAGCAGAACATGACACCATGCAGAAGCTACCAGAAAAAGTGGGTCCATGGGAGAATAATACAGTGGGGTTGTGGGCAACTGAGAGGTAGCATAAAGACTGTAGGTCCCAAAGACGGAAGTAACAGTGGTGGGTTTTATAAGGAGAGTAACAGACAAAAGGACCGAAGAATTGCAATATACTTGCTCAGATCTACCAACCACTATTCTTTTTCTGAGGAACCTATTAATCTCAATATAGAATTGTCTTACATTTACATCAATTACTTCAAAACTTGTTTCAGAACTGTCCCTAGAATTACTCACTCCTAAGTAATTGGCTAAGACTCTCATAATTAATTAGCAACAGGTACAGAGAAGTGGCAAAATAGATACAGTGCTAGACTTGGAGTCAAAAGCCCTGAGTCTGAATCTGTCTCAGACACTTATTAGCAGTGTGAAAATGGGCAAATCACTTAACTTCTCTAAGTTTCTTTATCCACAAAATGAGGGGAATTGGACTCAATAGCCTCTAAGGTTCCTTCTAGTTTTAAAATCTATGATCTTAATACAAATGCGGATATACTTGCTGACTAAGAAATCAAAGTCTCACATTGAATGGGGATCTATGCATCTTGTGACCTTTATGGGACGAATGTTATTTAGCAGCTAGAAAAGTACAGTGGGAATTAGTGAAAGAAAGTTCTGCCTCTGTATGAGTAATTCAGGAACACCAAAGGACAAGAGCCAAACAAGAGTTTGTCAATAAGGACTGATTCATCCTTTTCATAATAACCATGTACTGGATTAGTCTGATGACAGAAATCTATAGATAATAAAATCAAGGGCCTGTGCCTGAGGGCAGACTCTAACTTTTTTCAGTTACCTTTTTTGGGATAAAGCCATGAGAAGACTCTCCATTCAGACTGATTCTGATTAATTGTACCTGTGCCCCACCCTCTCACTTCTCTTCTAGATTTAAGGAATGGCATTCCTTTGGAGAACATTTGGTTGTGAAGGGCACCTGCCTGTGTCATGTGCTTCTTTGCTCAGAATGGTTAAAAGTAAGGTTCCCACTGATCACCCCTGATGATGCCCTGTCATTTCTGAAATGGCAAATGCTATTAAAGATAATATCCTTAATGTCTTTTAGATAAGACATGTGACATGTGACCATGGCTTCTATTTCCATCCATGTTAGATACCCTCCTCTCTCAAACTCTTCCTTCTCGCCAACTTTTCTATTACTGTCAAAGGACCATCATCTACAGGCTTGTAACCTTGTCATTACCGCTCACTCTCCCTCCACATATCCAAGTTCTTTTCAGATCTTGTCATTTTTATTTTCACAACATCTGTCCTGTCTGTCTCCTTTACTCACACAGCTGCCATGCCACTAAAGGCTCTCATCACCTTTTGTGTGGACTATTGCAAAAATATTCTAATTGGTCTTCTTGCCTCAAGTCTCTTCCTTTTTTGATTCATTTTCTACTCAGCTGCAAAGTGACTTTTGAAGTGCAGGTCTGACTATGTCACCCCCTTATTCAATAAATTGAAATGGCTCCTATTACCTCCAAGATCAAATACAAAATCCTCTGTTTGACATTTAAAAGCCTTCACAATCTCTCTTGTCTTCTTACACTTTATCCCTCTCCATGAACTCTATGGCTAAATCAAATTGGTGTTTTGTTCCTCACACATGACATTCCATCCTCTGATTCTGTTACTTCTTCTTCCTCACTTCTCTCTTACTCCCCAACCCTCTGCAATCTGGCTTTCAATATTATCATTCAACTGAAACTGCTCTCTCCAAAATTTTAGTCTCAAAATTTCAGAGTCTAAAGATATTAGTCCTTACCTTCAACATTCCCTGCATTTGGCACTACTGACTACCTTTCTGCTCCTACTCATTCTGTTCTGTGTCTTCATGACACTGCTTTCTCTTGGTTCTTCTTCTAAATTTATTAACCATTCCTTCATGGGCTCCTTTGATCTTCATTCATATCATATCTCTCAAACATGGGTGTACCTCAAAGCTCTGTCCAAGGTCGTCTTCTCTTTATCTATTCTCTCTCCATGACCATTAGTTTCCACATATTCAATTATCACCTCCATGCAGATGATTCACAAATCTATAGATCTAGTTTGATTCTCTTTCCTGAGCTCCATCCACATCAACGAACTGCTTTTTGGACATTAAAACTGCATGCTTTAGAGACATCTTAAGCCTAAACATCCCTAAAACAGAACTGATTGTCAATTTCCCCCAAGCCCTTCCTTCTAATGAATGTTCACTATTCTTCCACTCTCCTATGCCTGCAACTTCAAAATTTTCAACTCCTCATTTGCTCTTATCCCACATAGCTAATCAGTTGCCAAATATTTTTGTTTCTATCTCTACAATACCTCTCACATCTGATCTTTTTTTTCTACTCTCAAGCCACTGCTTCAATTTTGGACCTCATCACCTCTAGACTAATTATTGCAATGGCTGCCTAATTGGTCTCCCTGCCTCAAATCTTTCCCCATTTCTCCCTAGTTCATCCTCTACACTGCAGCAAAAGTGATTTTTAAGTGTAGATTTGATCCTATCATCTCCCTGCTCAATAAAGTCCAGTGGCTCCCTATTGCCTTTAAGATAAAGTCATACCTTGGCACTAATCTTTTTTTCCAGCCTCATTATACATTAGTCCCCTTCCTATACCCTATGGTCCAGTTGACCAGAACTTCTATTTGTTCTTCATATACAGTCAACTATCTCTTGTCTCTGTGTCTTTGCACTGGCCATACCCCATTCCTAGAATCTAATCTCTCCTCACATCTAGTGTCTTTAAGACACAACTCAGACACCACTTCCTATATGTTTTCTCCTGATCCTTCAAATACTAGCATTTTCCCCATTAACTATCTTATATTT